CTTTGTCTTTTCTCATATTTTCCTCAAATCTTTTAGTCCTGGATGTTCCTGATAACTAAGATGGTCTAATGGATACAAAGTTGAAATAATTACAGCGTAGAAAAATTTACATATATTAAAATTGGTTATAACTGCAGTATTAATCAGTTATAACTGCAGTATTAATCAGTTATAACTGCAGTATTAATATCAGTTCTATGTTTATGTTTGGTCTTTTTTGGAGCGGCCATCTTTTCTCTCCTGGAGGTTTTTAAATGATTGTAATAAATAACAGAAGGTCTTTTTGCTGCAGCATCAATAATTTATGAACCTTAACGAGGCTCACTCCCTCTCCCCACCTGTTGCTGTCCCAGGTTTGAATCTTAAGGCTAATTAATTACCTCATGAATATGAATCAGGTTCTGCTAAACAGAAACAGTCTGCTTCTAAAGACCTACATTTGGAAAGCGAAGGTCGCCAAGGTCGTTTCAAGGTTTTCTCTTGTGCAGCCGTGAAGGTCGCCCCCTGCTGGGAGGGAGGAGGAACAGAAATTAACCTCTTGGGGAGAAGCTGCTGCTTCCTGTCCTCCCTCTACTTTCTGTCTGGTTCTGTGATCAGCTGATTGGTTCTGTAGAACCGAGCTTTGGGTCTATTTATGAGTAGTGTTGGTTCTGACGGGTCGCTAGCGGGCCGAGCTGGCTCTATCTTGTGACGGCGGGGTCACAGAAAGGTCAGAGAGCTGAAACCAGCAGGATATATTTAACCTGTGACCCCGTGACCTCGATCAGGCTTCACCTGCTGCCCCGATGCTGCAGCGCCTCCTGCAGGCCGCTGCAGGGTGGCGCCGGTCCAGATCAGATGGTTTCAGAAATGGGTTTCATTTCCAGAACAGGACCTGAAGCAGAACCAGGGACCTTTGGCCTCTTCGTTTCGCTCATTTATCATCTAAACCAGATGATAAAACCAGAATTACTGATCAGTTCAGCAATAACCTGCTGCTGTTTATGGAGCAGTTCTGAAGGGATTACTTTCTAAAACTTTCCTGAAACCCTCTGAGCTCACTGAACTCTCAGCTGAAGGGCAGAAATCTGCTTTGAACTAGAAATAAATTCAGGAGCAAAATCTCGTTAAAGTGATAAATGTTCTCACTAAAAACAGATGATTTAGATTTTAACAAGTTTTCTACGTTTCTGTTATCAGATTCCAAACTGGCTGGGATTTTAAACTGGTCTTTCATATCCTGCAGGCAGAGATCCTGATATAAAATTTCCTAAAAAGACTCATTAAAATTAATAATTCTCATTATTAAACTCAATGGAGAGGAAGAACCAGGGACCGCTTTCTGATCCAAACCGGACCTGAGCCGGGCTCCTGTCAAACTGCAGCTGGTTCTGCTGCATCTTTAAAACATGAAACTTTCTCCTTATAACGAGATCCAACACTTGAGTTCTAGTGACAAACTGAAAAGAAATAACGTTTGTTGTTTAAAAACTCAGATTTGATGTCATTATGAGATTATGTCTTCATAAAAACACATTTATTTTTTGTTTTCATCCAGTTTCTTCTAAAAATCCCAAACGTGTTTCTGTTTTATTGTTAACCACGTCATTCAGCTGAGATGTTCAGATTTTCCAGATGAGTCTCGTTCTGCTCCTGGCTCCGTTTCTCTGGCAGTGACATCCAGCTGCAGCGTTGGTCAGGTTCTGCTGCAGTGACTGGGCCCATGTCCAGCTACAGGCGGATCCGACCGGAACCGCAGCAGAGCCAGCTGCAGTTTGACAGGAGCCCGGTTCAGGTCCGGTTTGGATCAGAAAGCGGTTCCTGGATCTTCCTCTCCGTTGAGCTTTCCGCCGCAGTTCAGCTGGTAAACGCCGTCAGTGTAAACGCCTGAGTTTGTTTCATTTAACCCAAAGCGTGGCCCAGGGGCCATCTGTGGCCCTAGAACTGATTTTGTTTGGCCCCCTGGACCAAAAGTCAAGAATGGTAAAAATTTGGTCAACAAATTAGAAAACAGCTGATGAGCCAAGAAAGACCTGGAGAGACGATTCTGTCAATGAGGCAAAAAGTTTGAAGAGATCCAGATCACACAGACATCACATGACCAACCAGGAAGTAGAGGCTGATCACATGACCAACCAGGAAGTAGAGGCTGATCACATGACCAACCAGGAAGGAGAGGCTGATCACATGACCAACCAGGAAGGAGAGGCTGATCCGGTCCAGAGCGCTGCAGAACCTCTGGTTCTGTTCCAGTTTCTGCATATGGAAGCATGTGATAACCAACTGTGGTTCTGTAGAAGCCAGCTGGTTCTGGGCTCAGTCTGCCACCTGCTGGTCGCAGCTGGAGCTGCATGGAGCTGGTTGATGGATGAATGAATGGATGAACTGTACTAATCTCCAAGGTGACACAGACATTTCAGTTCATCCAGAGAACTGAAGAGTCCGACTGCCATGTTCAGAACCATCAGAACGGTTCTGATGGTTCTGAACCTGGCAGTCGGACTCTTCAGGCTGAAAAAACAAAACATGACTGAAAATAAAAAGATGAATAAAATGTTGAAGAATTAAAGAAGAAACTCAGTTTCTAGTTTTTGTTTCTCTGCTGCTGGTTCAGTTCCAGGTTTGGACTTTTTTCTTCTGTTCAACAAAAACAATAAAAACTTTATTTAAAAAAATAAAAACAAAGAGAAACCAGATGGATAAACTGAAAACTTTTTTTGTTTAAATGAATTATTTATCTTTACAAACATTTGAATGTTTTGATGTCTTGTTGCACATCTTAAAAATAAAAAATAGAATAAATATTCAACAGTGATAATAAAACACCTTTCTGCAGATTTTATTTATTACAGAATCTCAGATAAAACCACCAGACCTCAGGTCAGAACCTTTGAGCCCGGTTCCGGATCAGAACCCGTCTCACCAGAACCGTCTTCTTGTTTCTTCCAGAAGGAGTTTGCGGCTCCGCCCCCTCTGCTCTTCAGGAAGCTGAGCAATCCGGACCTGTCACCCGCGGCAACCAGCGCCACCAAGTCCAAACTGCACCGACAGCTGAGCCAGGATGAGAACCGGGCCCGGCGCAGCAGCCTGGCCATGACTGGTGGGTACCGTCTGGGTCCAGAACCGGTTCTGGACCCAGAACTATAACCAGTGCTGGACAACAACAACAATAACTATCGCATGTGATCAATAACTATGGATAACACATTGATTAAATATAGAATATTGACTGAACTGCCATCCAGAACTGCACAGCATTCTGGGAGATGTAGGCAGATTAAAGACTGTAGCTGCTCTACCTCTCCCGGCTAGCTATGGCTAACTCACTCCTCTGTGGTTGCCTAGCAACAACCTGTTAGTAAGTGGCGCAGCAGCAGGTCCAGGTTTGCCTCATAGCAGCTTAAAAATAAAAATACGACCGGAAGTGAAAACTGGATGAAACAGGAAATGACATTTCAAATATCTAAAAAATAATCAATAATTATTAAAATGAGCTGGTAAGAAAAGTTTCTGATGTGACGCGTTATCCAGCCCTGAACCTAAGCTGTCTGGGTCCAGAACCCGGTCCTGATGGTTCTGGTTCCTCTCCCCAGGGAAACAGCTGCTGCCTCTGTCCTGCAGCCTCCACGGGGGGGTCAGCCAGCTGCTGGGGCCCCCTGCTGGCCCCGGGGCCCCGGCCGGCCCGGCGGGCGGCGGAGGAGACGGGAACAACCTGGTCCGGATGAGGAGCCAGGTTCTGGGCCAGTCGGCGCCTTCGCTCAGCGGACTGGTCAGTACCAACCCAACAGCTCCTGTGTGTGTGTGTGTGTGTGTGTGTGTGTGTGTGTGTGTGTGTGTGTGTGTGTGTGTGTGTGTGTGTGTGAGGACTTTATTATGGGCTGCATTGATGCTCCGGCCACTTGGTGGCAGCAGAGTTCACATGAACAGAAGGGAGCCAATGGAGGATTAGGACAGATTAGGATTAAAGCAGAAAAACTTTGAGAATAAAGTCAGAATATTTCCAGAATAAAGTCTTAAAATGCTAAAAAACTGTTTAAATTAATGAGGTGAACAAATGATTGTTAAGTAAAAGTTACCAAAGTTTAAATGTTTTTATTGTTTTAAGTCTTAAAGTCCCAGTGAATCATTTTCACTTTTTCTCTTCAGAGAATCATTCATCAGTCTGGATTAAATGTTTCTGATCGAGTTAATAAACTGAACTTAGAAACTGTTTTGAGGTTTAAAATGGTGAAATGAGCTGCAGCAGATTGAAAGTTGTAGTTCGGTTTATTAATGTTTCATAATAAGGTGATAAAACGCTGATGCAAGCAGTTTGTACAGAAAAACAGTTAAATATGATCAGAGTTGCTGCTGGGCGCCACCAGCAGGGGGCAGCACAGGCCAGTCTGACCTCCAGCAGATTGGATCAGACTCCTGTTTCCTCTGCTTGGATCTGACTTCAGATCACCTTTTAATAACTTTTAAACAATCAATCGAGTTTATTTGTGTTGCACTTTGAACCAACAGCTCAGCACAAAAACACAGATTCATAAAACATTCAGTCAACAGTTGAGAAAACCAGTAAGCAGTACTGCAGAGGACTGGTTTAAACTGGTTCCTGGTTTCAGAGCCAAAGCTCATTACATCCTGACTCGACCCGGTCACCATAACCAACGGTTATTATGATAAACAATAATTTTGGTGCTTTGACATGATTTAAACTGTTTCAGTGGGGCGGTCTGTTCTGCAGTTCTCCATCAGTGGCCTTCCTCTCCATCCTCCTCTTCCTCTCTGTAGTGGTAGAGAAACTTCTGACAGCTTTAAGGCATTTGTCAGACATGTTCTCCAGTTGTTCCCATTTTGAAGAGTGAGATCAGGTTCTGTTTTCAGCTTCACATCTCATCTGAATCTGGACTGAAACCTTTAAACCGAAGCAGCCGATCCGTCAGCGACTCTGAACGCAGCGTGGCGACTCACTCCTGCAGGCGGTCGATGCTAAACGCGTCCAGCCGCATGTTTAGCTGCACCAACTGCGTGTTTAGCCGCAGCAGCTGCATGTTTAGCCGCAGCAGCTGCATGTTTAGCTGCCTGTTTAGCCGCATGTTTAGCTGCAGCAGCTGCATGTTTAGCCGCAGCAGCTGCCTGTTTAGCCGCATGTTTAGCTGCAGCAGCCGCATGTTTAGCTGCAGCAGCCGCATGTTTAGCTGCCCCTCTACGTGCAGCAGTCTGTCCTCTGTGTGTCTCTTCAGCCCAGTTTTCTCTCCTGGTTTCTCCCCTCAGTCTCTCCAGGCTGACTCAGCGTTTTCTTATCATCTCTGCCACAGAGGAGGAAGAGTTTTAGGAGCTTTGTCCTCCTCTTCCTCAGCTGCTGCTCTTCATCTGAGGTCGAACCGCTAAGATGGAGGCTTTAGCAGCAGACAGGAGCTTCTGATCGTAGCCGTACCTTCAGATATTTATTTTAGTAATCGAGTATTCAGACAGTTAATCAAGTAATTGGTTCTGCAGATCCTACTAAGTTCTACAAACACACAAAGATAACATTTAAGTAAATAAACTATTTAATTCATTTTAAAAAAGTAAAAATTTCTTTGTTAAAAATGCAGTAACAGAATGCTGATCCTTCTTTCAGTGGTTAAATCCTTCAGACAAATAAAACTAAATATTCACTCTAAAAGTAAATGTTTCTTCTCACACCATCAATCTATTGCTGAGCTTTTTTATTTGACAGATCTGCAATAAAAGCTGCATAGTTGTTTTGACACAACTTGCACACTGTTAGCTGATACAGCAAACATAAACGATGTCTACTGTCTGCAGCTCGTTTCCTGTTCAGCTCTGCTGCATGGTCGACATGCTACTGTGGACAGCTAATGCTGCTCTGGAAAGCTAATGCTACTGTGGAAAGCTAATGCTGCTCTGCGCTGTCTTTGGGTTTAGTTTACGTGTTTCTACATTTTTTTATCGTTGTTTTCATGTTACTCTGTTTTGTTACTCTTCATCTTCCTCCCCAACTAAAACGGCACTTAGCTTAGCATGCAGCTAATAGTCAACAGCAAAGCCATTAGCGGAAGTGGGAGGGTTGTCATGTAACTCAGGACAAGTATCTGTGGTTAGTTGTTTATTCGTAGGGATCAGCTGATATTTTCACTAACAGAACAAAATATACAGGAATAAAACATTTTGTTACTTGATAAACTTTATGCTCACAAACTGCAGCTGTTCCCTCCCTGCTTTAGCCACCTGTCTTAGGAACCATGAAGACTTCAGGTGTCCAGTTCATTCAGATCTTCCTTTCCTCGACAAACCACAAAGTTTTTGCGACGTAACAAAATGTCACTCAAAATTATTTGCATAAAATCTTTGTATTTTTGTGGAGAGTATCTTAAATATTCTAAAGAAAATGTAACTTGGGAATCTGAAATAGGGCTGCACAGTGGCGCAGTTGGTATCACTGTTGCCTTGCAGCAAGAAGGTTGTGGGTTTGATTCCCGGCCCGGGGTCTTTCTGCATGGAGTCTGCATGTTCTCCCTGTGCCTGGTGGGTTCTGTCCCACAGTCCAGAAACATGGCTGTCAGGTTAATTGGCCTCTCCAAATTGTCCCTAGGTGTGTGAGTGTGTGTCTCTGTGTTGACAGACTGGCGAACAAACTGATTCTGGTTTATTTATCTTTACGTTGAGGAGGTCGAGGTTTTGCACTTTAAGGATGAGTTTAAACCGAGTCTGATTTACTGACAGAACGGTGAGCAGAACCCCGGGTTCTGCAGAGACTGCTGGGTTCCGTCTCTCCCAGTTTCATTCGGACCGGACCGGTTCCGTCTCTGTCAGCAGTCAGATTTTCACCATGTTAGTCATTCATTTATAAATGTCAGGTTCAAACTTAGAATTTACTCAGCGAGCTAAATAATTAGCTAAAGATTTAGCTTATAAGCTAAATGTTTAGTTAGCAAGCTAAATAGCTTCTAACTAAATCTGAATTTAGTTAGCTATGCTAGATAAGTATTTAGCGTCGAACAAAACATTTTAAATACATCTAAATATCTTGAAAATTAAACATTTAACTTTAAATATTTAACCTTCAAGCTAATTATTTTGTTTGCTAACTACATATTTAGCTAAATTTAGTTTCAAGCTAAATATTCAGTTTGCTAATTAGCTGTGTTATAAATTATTGCTGTTAATCTTTAGGTGTGTAACGTTACAGACTCCATGCAGCTTGTTCCATCTTTAATGTGATGCTTGTCCTTTAAATGCGTCTGTCTGGTTTACGAGTCGTTCCTGAATGCACCGTCTGCTGCTGGTTCTACCTCAGGCAGCTGGATTTGGACCTCAGAACCAGACGGGTCACATTCAGCTGCAGGCTGATTCTGATTCTGTTTGAGCTGGACTCAGAATAATCTGGATCATCTGTGGTGGATAAAATCTGCCCAGGTTTCTTGTTTCCTGTTCAACTGGAAGAGTCGGAACTCAAAGTGAAACTGATTCGACATCATGATAAAATAAAAACCTTCAGCCTGGAGCGGTCGATGTGCTCAGACTCCTCCGAGTCGCGGTCCGCTTCATGCTGGAGGCCAGGAGTCTGGGCCTGACGGGTCCAAACGGGTCCAAACGGGTCCAAACGGACCCGGCTGCTGGAAACACCCGGACCGCTCTCTGAGGCAGAAGAAACATGAGTTCCTGATTTCCTGTCACATTTCTCAGCAGAAACCTTTGAAAGGCGAAAGATGTTGATTTGGTTCAGATGTGGCGTCGCCATAACAAACCCGTCTGGACGATAAATTCAATTATTGCGATAAACGATAATATTGTTGTTTTGAGGTCATTTTCCAGTAAAATGACGGTAACTGAATTATAACATCCTCAGCTAATGAGAAACTTTACATCCTAACATTAAAAAATAAACAAATAAAATGAATTATGATGTTTCTGAAGAACTTTGAGGCTTTAGTATGAAGGGTTCTTTATAAATAAAACTGACTGACACAGTTGGTCGGTCTCGGCGGTCCGGTCTGCTCTGAATCGGTTCGGTTCCTCTGACCGTGTGAACATTCCTGTCTCTGACCCCGGTGACCTTTGCCCTCATTAACGCCGAGGCTCTGAGCGGGGCGGGGAGGGGCCGCCGACGGATCCGCTTCCCTCGGACCAGGCCGTGAACAGAACCGGTCTGAGAGGAGCGGGGAGGGGGAGTCGTCTGGTGACGGACGCCCCCTGCTGGTCTGGAGGAGTTCTGCTCTGCTGCTGGTTTTGCTCTTTGCTTCGTTTCTCCCTTTTGCTGATTGCAGCATTTTTCTGTTGCTCTCATTTTTTGTTTTTATAGTTTTCATCATTCATGTGTTTGCAGCTCGTTTTGCCGATTACTTTGACTTTGCACCTGTCGGCCATCATGGAAAACACTTTCCTGGCAGGTTTAGCTTTTGTTCTCTGAGTTCCTCCTGCAGCTTCTGCAGAACCTCAGTTATTCTTTACTTTCTGTGGCAACAAGAAACCACAAAATGAAAGTTATTTTCTTTTTTCTTATCATAAATTCACCCATAAACGTATAAAATTTCATTTAAATCACTTCATTTCCAGGATAAATTGTATAAGCCTTTTATCTGTGGTTTTCCAGTAAAACCAGGGATTAAAACTTCCCAGGAGTTTAGAGGTAAAAACTTCCCGTTTTGTTCCGATCCAGATGAAACCCGATGTTCAGCAGCCGGTCTCACGGCGCTGCTCAATCCTCCGCAGTCTTTAATCTCTGCTGCCATCATTAATAATTCATCTGTTTGACAGAAACCATGAGCCACACACTCACACACACACATGCACTCACACACACACACATGCACTCACACACACACACACACTCACACACACACACACACACACACACACACACACACACACACACACGCACACACACACACACACACGCACTCACACACACACACATGCACTCACACACACACACACACACACACACATACATGCACTCACACGCACTCACACACACACACACACACATGCACTCACACACACCCCTCTCTCTCTCCCTGTGTGTGGGGGAGGAGCGCTCTTCTTCTCTAATTCATTGCGATCGTCTGTCCGTCTCCTGCTGGCTCCTGATTGGCCGCTGCAGCAGAGAGAGAGAGGCAGTGTGTGATGAAAGGAAGGGGGCGGAGCCAGAGCACGACGGCAGGCGAGGGAGGAACGCCACCGCAGCTCTGCTGGAGCGGCACCAGAACCCGGAGCGCTGGCCCGGCCCGTTGGCATGGAAACGGCCGCCGTAGCTGGCCGCTAGCAAACACCCGGCCACAACTTTTCCTGTTTTCATCCTGGATCCCTCAGGAATCTGGTCCGGAGCGCTGCAGTAAGGCAGAGGGCGGGTCCGGTCCGGTCCGATGAATGGAGCCCCGGCTCCGGACGGAAACACAGGAATGATCCGCATGTCTGCTCATCACAACAAGCCGGAATAACAGGAAGAGAAGCAGGAGAGGATTGAAAAGACGAGACGAGGAGAAAACACCGGATCTGGGTCAGAACCGGGCTGGATCAGAACCGGTCTGGATCCGGCAGATGGGCTCTTATGTAACTCCTCCCAGGCGGTTTCCATAGGAAGCACCTGAAGTCGGCAGGAAGACGGATCATGGACGACTCCAGCATCCTGAGGCGCAGAGGGCTCCAGGTAGGGTCTCTGCAAGGGTCAAAGGTCAGCAGGAGGAAGATGACGGGGATGTTCAGGTGTTAACGACTTTCTGGACGTCATTATTGTTCATCTCTGAGTTTCTGGTCCGGTGTCGTTGAGTCAGCACTCCCTCCTGCAGATCCAGGGTTTCTAAACACGCGGGGCGGGGGTCCATCCAGGACACCAGGCAGCTGGGGCTGACCTGGATTATTTTTGGGCTTCATGCAGGATTTCAGATGAAATGCTTCATATTTTTTAATTTAAGTCGTATTTTAGTTTTATCAGCAGCTTCTGATCAGATATTGATTATATTTAAGGTTCATTTTCACCTGAACAGCTGAGCGTTCTTCAGGACAGGAGATGTTCTCTTTACTAAAACCAGAACCAGAGAAGCTCTGCGTCAACATCGGTCCCGGTCTGATGCTGACAGCTGAGCTGATGTTTACTTCCTTGTTGTTGCTGTTTGTGTTTTGGGAGCGGCGTCATGGCGTCTGTTTGGTCATGTGACTGTAGCAGGAAGCTGAAACAGCTGATCTTGGTGATCGGTTCATCCCTGACCAGAGATTCTGTTCACTGAACCAATATTTCACTTTCACACAAAGTTCAGTGTTAAAATCCTCTATTTCAGTGGTTCTTAACCTTTTTTGAGGTACCGAACCCCCCAGTTTCATATGCACATTCACCTCCCCAATAATTTGCGGTATTCTGATTTATTAATGTAATTATATTAGTTGTATTACCTCCCCCACGCCACTGGAGGCAGTACCAACCCTGAAAAGATGTGACTAAGGAGCAGATTTAGACTACAGAATTTGGTAAAAACGGTGAGTTTTGTTGAAGTAATTAAAGACAGAAGTTGAAATCCCTGCTGAGTGGAGCTCCTTCAATCAATTTCTAGGAGCATATTTGAATATTTTGATATCATTCAGAGATTTTGAATATCCAAAATCAAACAACTAAAAATAATTTAAAAAAAACAAATAAAATTCTGAAACCATAAATAAAATTGAAGTTTCTGTTAACAAAATTTCCCTTCAAAAATATCAATAATCAGAATTATTGAGCTCATGTTAATTTATCATTAATAATTAATTGATTCTTAAAAGTTTAGTCAAAGTAAGGATTCTGTCTGTTCCCGTTGGTTCTGGTACTGAGGTTCTACTGGATCATCCTGCCGGTTTTATTTCTGCTCCTGGTTTTTCTGGGGATTTTTTAAAATGATTTTTGTTCTCGGGTCGGCCCGTTCCTGGGTCGGAGAATCCGGGCCGACAGCTGAGTGGTTCTGGAGGGAACGCCTCCTCTGGAGCGCCGGCTGCTGCTGGTCGCTCACGTTGCCGCAGCAACATCTGGAACCAGCTGGGCAGGAAGTCAGGCGTACCGGAGTCCGATCCACCGCGGTCGGACGATCCGGTCCAGGAGCGTCTGCGGCCCTGACGGAGCGATGAGGCAGAACATTTTGTTCTGGAAGGAAAGGTCGGGTCAGGACAGCAGGTTGGATCACAGCAGGAACGTCCAGCTGGATTCATTAGCCTCCTGAGGTCAGAGGTCACAGCCCCTCAGATGAACAGAGGAAGTGGAGGTTTACTTCCAGCCAAACAGTCAATCTGACCGATTAGCGCTAAAAATCACGTTTTGCTCATCTGATTCACTGCAGCAGCTGTTTCATCTGAATGTTTTGAATTTTGAACAAAGTTTTAAAACGTCACAGAAAAAGGAAAATCT